GACACAACATCTTTGTTGGTATGTGGTGCTGAGGATCGAACCCGGGCCGCACGCATGCCAGGCGAGCGCGCTACCGCTTGAGCCACATCCCCAGCCCTCCTTGTGCTTCTTCATCTGTGAAATAGAGATAAATATTTCTGGTCCCCTATGACTTGTGAAGCTTAAATAGACAATGTGTTTTTTTTTTTTTTTAAATCAGGACTGTGCCACAGAAGAAGGACTGTACCACTGTTTGCTGCTTCTGTTGCTTGCAGCAAACTATCAACAGAATAAAAAAAAGAGAAAACTACAGTCTCAAAGTCACTGCATAAAAGAAAAACCTTTAGAGGAGGCATGTCCTGTCTCTACTGGGGAAGGGTTACTTTTCATTTCCCTGAAATCTTAAATCACTTTAGGAAAAATGGAGGCAGAATAATAACAATAAGTTCTGTTATTAGAACTGAGCAGAGGCCATCACTGCTGGCTGTACTTCCCTGTCTGATGGGAAATAGAGAAGAAAAAAGAGAAGAGGGAGGAGGGCAACTAGCTTGGAGATCTACCAGGATGAGCATTAAGATCTAAATTTCGGCACTTCACTCTGGAGAGTTAAAGTACAAGTTACTAAGGTTATCTTGCGGGAAATGGCCATTAGAAGATGCCACAAGCAGTCCACAGATACCACCAGAAGCAATTCTACTAACACACAGGAAGCATGATGGGAAACACTAGCAACCCCTTCTCATGGTGATTTTTTAAATTTGTGGGGCACTCCATATGAAGCTAAGTTACTCTTCAGTGTTCTAAAATTTATTGTGGCTGCACATGGTGGCTCACACCTGTAATCCCAGTGACTTGGGAGGCTGAGGTAGGAGGATAACAAGTTAAAAGCCAACCTCAGCAATTTAGGAAGGCCCTACATGATTTAGAGAGACCCTGTCCCAAAAATAAAAAATAAAAAGGGCTGGGATGTGGATCAGTATTAAAGCACCCAGATCCAATCCCTGGTACTAGTTAATTAATTAATTTTTAAAATGTGTTGTGCTCAGAACAATCAATGTAATGCCTCTGAAGCAAACCCAAATAGCAACAGACCAGGTCAAGATCACTATTTTACCACAGCTGGCTATATCAAATTATATTTGAACAACTTATACTGTTTCAAACTACTAACTAAAACTTAATAATAACTATCTCTAAAGATACTTATAACCTAAGTTACTCAGGAAAAATGAGAGAAATTAAAACTTCCCTATTTAAATAATGAATAAGAGAAGCATACCAAATACCTTAACACAAAGAGTAAAGAGCATTTCAATCTTTGGATAAATCAAGTCTACCCTGAACCTATTTTCTATTTGATCAAGTAGTCATCAAAAAAAAAAAAAMAAAAAACAATGTTCTGAGAAACCTTTTACCAAGAATATTTTAATTGGTTTCCCAACACCTTCTCCTTGCCAACTATTCAGTAAATGAATCATGGTTGTCTTGCCACAGCCCTCCACCTACTCTGCCAATGGTACACTGGAAATGGTGATGCCCAAGATAACTCAGGCCACTGAGATCCAACAAGAGGTTTTTCTGGGGTATTTTAGGAAAGAAACTTGTGAATCTAAAGAGAGAGCCATAAAAAGCCACATATAAAAGCCATAAAAAGCCCTACAGACATAAACAGGAGAGGAGACTTCCAACATCTACTGATGGTCATCTAATAGTCACAAGAATCTAAGCCTTCTGTGGGTGGAAGAGCTGGGAAGTAGAAAGAACCTGGATTACGACCTATTGGGTTTCCTCTTGGGTTTCCTCTTATATGAACTCTCAAGTTTCTTTAGTATTCAAACCAGTTTTATGTTGGTAGCCCAAAGCATCCAAATTTACACATTTTGTTTTCCACTTCAACTACCATGTAAAAATTTCACCCATGCTTGTCTACATGTTAGCAAAAAAAAAAAAAAGTATTCCACTTCAAATAAGTTAGTATACATATCAGAGTCATATTTAAAAGTTTATGCACAGTTAAATAGTCCAATAATTTAAAAAATAATTTCAATACATTTTCCCTTCTTATTTATCAATAAAGGAAAAAATTGATAAACTATTATAGAACATCAAACTTTCAATTTGACATAAAATTTAACTTTTATATCCCTCTTAGTTAGAGATATCATTACATTTTAGGGCACAAAATTTATAACTTTTTAGACCCTAAGATATTCATTTTGTTCATACTATTTAGATCAAAATCAAAAAAGAAAGACTAATGCTCTTTACAATTAGTTTAGCTTTTTAAAAAAAATCTTCAGAATTTTTTGCTCCAAACAGCCATATAAAATGCATTAACTATAACCTACAGAAAAAACAAATTGTTTACTTTATCCATCATAACATTTCAATTTCACCAAATTGGATAGACTATTCAAATACATATGAAGGTATTTTTAGGAAGTAGTGATTTAGATAATAACAACAGCAAAAAAAGAAAAGAAGAAGAAGAAGAAGAAGAAGAAGAAGAAGAAGAAGAAGAAGAAGAAGAAGACGACGACGACGACGACGACGACGACGACAGCGGCAATTTAAAAAGGTTGGAAGTACAAGATACATATTGGAATAACTAGCTCGTGCTAAGTGACAAAGAGCAAAGTGAAGAAGGAGGGAGCAAACCACTCAAAATCTTTACAGCAGGTCACAATCTCTATGACACATGAATAGATCAGTTGTTATATAAGGCAGATTCATCCTTTCATCAAGACCATTTTAGAATTTTTAAATCATGCATTCAAAACCACAGACATTCCAAGTTTTCCAAATGAATTTAGGCTATTTTACAAACACTTCAAGTAAGAATTACTTCATACACTGAGGTAATAGTATGGTAGGTATTTGCAAGATTAACTAATACCATAAATACAGTATAAATTTAAATCAGAGCTGAAAAAAATTATTTATCTATTCCACATAACATGTCTATTCTGTAAAGAGGATTTGGTTGGGCCTGAAAGAATGCAAACTGATAAACTACAATATACAGGATAAAAAAAGATAACCTTTTTAATCAAAAAAAGGCTCCTTGCAACCTTAGAATCACTCCTTACCAGTAGACACACCTGATCACAGCTGTAATTCAAACATGCCAGAAGAACAGCAGGCAGAGCTGGTAGAGTCAGGAATGTGTGTGACTTACTACCTAAAATTAGCCATGCCCATTTCACCACAATTGGGTTGGGCTCCTCTATTTTAAGGTGTGCAGTTCTGAATTACTTAAAAATATGTAATTGCTGGCTAGTCTCTAAAGCTAAGAATGTCAGCAGACTTTACACCAAGGCTTTAGATGGCCAACTAGTCTCCACAAAACCCCACAGCATGCTATCTAGGGTCTAAGAACACAGCAAATAAAAGTTAAATGCTGAATATATCCATAAAGATGTACCATGTATGGACACACTAGAAAGAATTAAATGAGAAAAGATACTTCTTATCCTTTTCTGCTTCTCTTTCCCCCACAAACACATACATTATAACAAAAGTGGTGGAAAAATTGACAAAAGTCATAGTACTAAAATATCCTGTCTTTTCAGGAAACTGTACAGACTATTAGCTGAAACTCTTCCAAATAATGTTACACTGTTGTTACCTCCCTCTGAAAATGCCATGTTACTGGAGTAAATCAATAGTAGGGGCTACTCAGTCTGTATTTCACATTCTAGAAACATTACTAGGAAACTGRTGAAGGTCCCATCAGTACTAGCAAGAGAATATGCACTAAACATTTTTTAAATGGAGCTAAATTTTCAAACAAATGAAAGAAAATGAAAAGACATACTCTTTCACCATTATGAAAAATTATTTTTATCAACAAAAGATAAAAATACATTGTAAGTTATACAGGCTTAACACATGCTTGAAATTCAAGATGCATGAGTTAAGCCTGATTTCTCCAAACCCACCATAAAGACCTAGTATCTATTTTATTACTAGCAACTTGAGACATTTGATGCAGAATCCACATGTAGTATTATTTACTTTCCTGATACTATCATGCTCCAGCAGTCCATGATGTTAACCCTTGTTTTGACAAATGCAATCAAATATTTTAAGAATTAGAACACACATACCTTCATTTTCTGAGGCATGGCATTTCACCTTCAATACCAAGTCAAAGGTTCTTTCTGGATTTTCCCTAAAAGAAAAAGAACTTTGTTATATTTATTTCCTAAAACAAACAAACATCTGTATAAAGCTGTGTGTGTGTGTGTGTGTGTGTGTGTGTGTGTGTGTGTGTAGGGGTTAGGGATGAAGTGCTGTGGCTCAAATCCAGGGCCTTATGCATGCTATGCAAGCACTTACCACTGAGCTATACCCACATCCCCTATATTTTCTTAATTCTAAAACTAATCTTGTTCTTGTCTCAATATACTTTTTGTAAGTACATAACTATAACTAGCACAGCAAAAATAACACTATCAGTTAGCAACTTAAGAGAGACTTGAGGCAAAGAGTTTAACCTCAAAGACTGTTTTCTTACCTATAGTCTTGTCCACATCACAGAATTGTGAGAACTATAAATCAAATAATATATGTGCAAGTACCTTATAAAGGTATACTGCTGTATAAATGCAAAGCATTGCTTTTATCCTACTGAATCAAAATTGGAAAGCCACTGCATTCCTCAGTGCCTTTAAACCCTGCCACACCTTAACATAGGTTCTCAGGCTTTTTTCAAAGGACTTGCAATGACTACCTGGTTCCACTTGCCATTGCCATGTAATATTTATAATGTTCTATAAATGTGGTACTTTGCATATGCTCTTCTTGAGATGTACTCACTGTACTTAAACATGTTTATGGTAGCAAACTATTCACACACTCCAAGGCTAACAAAAAAAGATCTGCTTTGTATGTATTATCTTTGGGGAAAATGAATATCTACCTCCACATTAGATTTTTCCCTACAGGAACAGTAAGGTTGCTTTGATTCATTCAGAATTTACTGACAATTTTACTAACTTCTCACACATTTATAACCTATTGGTTAAATTTCAAAAACAGTGGAGTGAAATTTATTAAGCCACTTTTCTCTCCCAAAACACTGGTTTTAATCTCTCTTTCCATYACAATCACAAGATTGTGACACCACAATGCCAAAATGCTAATACACATAATTCAGGTACCCCTGCCAAGACCTTAGTGTCTTTGTACATTTGCAATTTTTAATATGTATTTCCTTCAAGAAATTAATGCCAGCTCTCACTTTWAAATAAATGTTCATTTAAAAAATCTTTACATGTATCTAGAATCATAGGAAGTGACAAACTCTATAAATCAATTTGCAAATATACATTTTCTTGGCTTTCCCACTATTAGCTTGTTTCAATGAAAATAATGCACACTCAGGTAATTTCCTTCTTATAATAGGTCAAAAAGTATCCTCCTTTTTTTTACTCACCCTACTCACTATGGTGTCAAACACTGAAGAAAATAATTTTAAATTACATAGTTTCCCTATTTTTCTAGTATTATTTAGAATTTCTCTTAGGTGTAAAAGTTAAATATTGATTCAGTTACACTCTGTGACATTTAAAAGGCCTTCTGCAATTATACAAACATATGTGATATTTATTATTGTAATTGGAGGGAAGAGTTTGAAGGGAGGGAAGTAAAAGGCGGAATGCTTTCCAAAGTTAGTTTCAGGAGAAAAATAAAGAACTCATGCCTCTAAGATACCTAAAAAGAAAAATCCCCATCGTTACTCAAATTGCTTTTTACTTAATCTGCTGAAGTAAGACAGCCCCTGATGAATACTTTGACACAGGCATACCCTTTGCCAGCACCACACACCACACAATGCCTCCAATAAACAAGCCTCAGGGACCCGTTTAATTTTCTAAGAAACAGCAAAAGGAAACATCCAAGTCAGAACTGAAAAAAAAAAAAAACAGCTTACAAAAACGGTTATCTTAATGCTAGGAAAGCACTTTAAATAATAACCGCTTAACCTCAACGCTGCTCCCTCCCGGCCACCTCGCACCACCCAGACGCGTCGGGTCTGACACCCGCGGGAGGAGAAGCCCACGGCGGGGGGTGTCGGCGCGGCCGGGCTGTCTGGCCACCCCGGGGTGCGGGCGTCTGCGCGGCCCCGGCGGCCAGGAGCAGCCGCGGACCCCGCCCGACGCGACGCGGGCCCGGAGGCTTTGCGGCCTAGCGCCGTCCCGCCCGCGGCGGGGTCTCGGGGCCCGGCCGCGCCCCCGCCTGCGCCGCCCCCTCCGACCCCACRGGAGCCGGCCGGGCGGGGCTGAGGCAGCCGCGCGGGCCAGGATTCGAGCCGGGAGGGGCCGCCGAGGGACGCCCACCCCGCGCGCCCGGGGTCCCCACTCACTTGGTCCTGCACTCCATGGTTACATGTCGCTGCGGGGCTGTCCGTCCCGACCCGCGGCCGGCCTGGAAGCCAGCTGCCCTCCACTCAAGGGTCGCGCCGCTCCCGCCTCCGCCGGCCGCCCCACCGCCAAGGAGGCTACTCACAGCGGCGGTGGCGGCGGGCCCATGTCGCGGMGCCCCTTGAGCTACCCCGCCTCCCACCCCACCCCTAGAGCCTTTCTGTGACAGCAGCAGCGGCGTGGCCGCCGCCCCCGTCTCCGCAGGCCGCCGCCCCCGCCGCCACCAAAGCAGGGGCCTCTTAGTTCCTGCGACCGAGGCCGCCCACAGCGACTCCTGCACCTTCTACAAACCAGGAAGTCGCCGGGAGGGGGGGAAGGGGCGCACGGGGACGCGCCCGGCAGCTTCACCTGGGCCGCGCGGCCCCAGGGCGGGAGCCTGCAGAGGACGCCTCAGCCGGGATCCCGGCGCCCCAGGCGGCCAGCGGGGAGAGAGGGGGTGCAGGCGCCTGCTCACGTACCGTTTTGCAACCGAGCCAGAATGCAAGGTGCCTCCTGTGTCCTCAGCACTGGACCAACCGCCTTCCTTTCTGGGTCCAGTCCAGGYTCCGAGTGTCCAGGTTATAGCCTCCCTACCAGTGAAGTACCTGAAAAGGTTCCTCGACTTGTGTAGTATTTACAACATCAAGTGCACACGGAATTGGGTTCCCTTCSTTTCAGACTGCAAATTCAGAGCTCAAGTTGATGCTCCTAGCTTTTGCCTCCYTCCAGCTGTGGCCTGGTTACTTACTGCTCTGGGAAATCCAGAGCTGCCCCCTCCTGCTTCAGGAACGTTCAGACATGTGCACCTGCTAAATAACCCTGTCAAGTGGCAAAACGATAGTGCTCCACTTGTCCGCACATGTGGGAAACAGACATTCCTATGCCACGAACTGCAGCACAACCAAGGACTAACTTTATACACGTTCTTGTAGTGGCAGGCCTCAAGGACCAGTAGTGTAGGGGAGCAAGGAGGAGGATCCACTTAAGTATGAGGATAGGAGGGGCTAACTTACGGGGCACCAAAGAACTAGAAAGCAGGTTATAAACATTGAATCAGTATTTGCCATACTCTTACAGTTAAATTTTATCGACATTTCATCCATGAAGCTACTGGGGCCAGCATAAGCAGTGGGTAATGGCAATACTAGAATTCAGACCCAGGGCTATCTGATGCTATTTACTTTTACTTATTAAAACATCTTCCTCTGCCTTGCTGCCTCATAGTCTACCAGAAGAGATGTAGAAAAAGTCTTATGATGAACTTTCAAAACTGACCCAGGCTGCAGGGTACCACGTCTTCCAGGGAAGCCTCCCAGCAAACATAGGACACACGTGGCTACACTGATTGTTATCCAAATGTGTGTTACTTCAGTCTATTTTCATGCAGGAGGTAATCCAATGTGGTATGAATATAGTGTGTCATGAGATATAAAAGTCAGACAARGTCTTGGAAATTAGGGAACTTAGAATCAAAAAAGCTAAGGTTAAATTCAAAGATCTGAAACTTTCTTGCCAGTTATTATTACTTGGTCAACAAAACAAGACATTACACAGCTATGGCCTCTTAATCAAAAATGAAGCTAAAACATAACTGAAATTTTTTTGAAGTTTCATTTTGGCATAATGTGTTGTCATAACTTGACTTGGGGTAAGACATTTAACTTCAGTTTCTCAGTTCCTACATTTATAAAATGGGAATTATAGTAATACCACATGAACAGAGTAATGTTCAAGTTTTAAAGTTCTATAAATTTGTGTGATCTTTTAAAAAATTATTCTGTGAATTTCAACTACACCACATAAATTTGTTTTTCCCAAATTAAGTTTTTTCTACCTAAGACATTAGCATACTCCAAGACTTGAAATAAATTCTGTAAACTAAAAACCACTTCTGCTCCAAGTGTTATGAATTTTTTGAACTTCTCCTTTCACTATAATTAATTTTTCTCCAAAGAAAAAAACCCTACCTGGGATGCCTACATCATGAGAAAGTACAATTGTTTTCTCCATCCATTTTTGGTATTTTAAGTGACAGTTATGGCCCTGCATAATATGCAGTGTTGTTTATTCTATTTACCTTGTATGTGTAGAGAAAAAAAAAAACACTCCAAAGTGAATGTTTTTAAACCATCTTTTAGGTATCTGTAATGAAGAGTTCTATTTATTCTGAGATTACCAAGGTAAAAGAGAAACAGATGGACATGATTTACATACATAATTTACTAAAAACTACTGGAGAAGAATTTAATACTCACTTATCTTGGTAATATGATTATTGAAACCGGTGGTATAATCTTAGTGACACTTCATGTAGAACTTCCCCTATGACTGATAGAGAAGTGTACAAAGGGCAGACTTTCAAATTGGTATTAGACCTTCCAAAAATAAAATTTCAGCAGAATTTCCTTATTGACATTTGATGTTAACATTTTCAAAGACCACAGTCTGCAYACTATTAATGTTTTTAAATGTTTTCAGAGTTATTTTAAATGTTTTGTGTAGGTTTATAAAGTATATTCTAGGGTTGGAATTGTAGCTCAATGGTAGAGTGCTTGCTTAGCATATGAAAGGTCCTAAGTTCCATCCTTGGCCCCTCAAGAAAAATTAAATAATAAAAGAATATATATTCTGCAGCCTTTGGGTACAGTATTCTAACAATATGTATCAAGGATAGTGAGTGTGTTTTGACATTTTCTATTACTGAATTTCCATGTGCTTGACACGTTCAATTAATGGGAGGGGTGAGTTAAGATATCCTAATCCACATTGGTGGATTCATCTGTTTCACCTTATAGTCCTGGCAAATATTTCTATTTGTTTGTTTCATATAGTTTCCAGTTATACTTTCCAGTTTATAATTATTATATCTACCAGGTAAATGAAACCTTTCATCATTATGTGGTGAATTTCTTTTGCCTTAGATGCTAAGCAGTTTTCTTCTGAGTAGTATTTGTCTGGTATAAGTATATCTCTTTTCATTCTTTTACATTTGAACTTTTTAAATCATTGTGTTTTGAATTTGCCTAATAAATTTTACTTTTTAACTAGTCTAATTAGATCCAGCATTTAAATCATTTGCACCTATTATAATTTCTGATAATATGAGCTTATTTCTGCCTTTTAATGTTGTGCTTCCTGTCAGTGTCTCCTGATTTGTTTTCCTCCTTCATCTTCTTTAGGATTGATTATGGTTTTTTATGCTTTTGTTTCAACACTCATACATCAACCTTCAAGTTTGAAAGCTTTGTACTTTCTATGCCTTTAGCTGACAGTTTATAACATCTAACAGGCAGATTCTAACTGATTAAATTCAGAGTTCACTGATAGACCCAATTTCTCCAAAACAACACAAGAATCTTTAAAAGCTCATCCCAAACTACAGTATGTAATTAAGTATTTATAACATATTTGATTTTGAGACAGAACCTTGAACTTGCAATCTTCCTGCCTCAGCCTCCCAAATAACTGGGATCACAGACATGTGCACTAGGCCCAGTGAATGTTGTTTTATATAGTCAATGTTTGTTCAGATTAATCCAGAACTTTTACCACTCATTTTGTTCTTTTTTCCTATTTTTCCCTTAGATCTCCCATCTAGGATCACTTTACATTTACCTAAATTATATGATGTAAGTGCTGGTATATCCCCTCATTTTTTGTTTGGGAATGTATTTTACCCTTATTCTTTAAAAAAAAAAAATCATACTATCTTCTAGCTTCCTTAGTTACAATTTGAATTTTGAAAAATAATCTTGAAATGTAATCCATCTTTTCTCTCTAGCTACATTTAAAATTTTCTCCTTGTCTTWAGTTTACAATAGTTTTACTCAATAAGAGTAAATCTAGGTACAGATTTTTTTAAATCCATCTTTCTTGCTATCCTTGGAGTTTTTGACTCTAGAGTTGGTGACTTCATCAGTTCTCAAACATTCTGAACCCCACTTTTTCTCTCCTTTCTTTCTAGGCTGCTGATAGCACATGTATTCTCATTCTACACTCCATATCTCTGAACATCTCTTTCATAGTATCTTTCTCTTTATCTCTCTGGGCTGCATTCTGGATAATTTCACAAATGTCTTCCTATTCATTGATTCTTCAGTTTTGTCTCATCTTCTGCTAACATCATCTTTTTAGTTTCTAATGTATATTACTTTTATTTCTAAAGTTATGTTTGGTTATTTTTTAAATTTTCTTTCTCTGAACACATATCTTAAAGCCTCTTCTAAATTTCTTAAATTACATTTCATATATACACTTTAAATTCTGTTTCTGAATACTCTAATATCTGAAGCAGTATGGATCTGATTCTTCTGATTTTTGTTCATGCTGGTTCTTACTTATGGTCCATTATTTTCTTATGTATGTGGTGATTTTTTTAGTTATCTGATCCTTAGAGCTTTATGCATGGAAATTTAGTGAGTTTTGAAATGATAAGTTCTCTGGAGAAAACTGCTGATAGATGCCTGGAGGCACCAGCAGTTCAGGACCATTTCATACTAAATTCTCAGCTTGAAAATTTTTAGACCACCCATATGAGATCTGGCTTGTAGCTATGAATCCTCCAGGAAGCTTTTTTCTCCTTAACTCTGTGTTGGTGTTTGAAATAATTGATTTTCCTTAAATCCCTCTGGGGTGTCTGCTTTATGAGGAGTATCCTATTGGATTCCCATATTAGGAAAGGCCTCAAGCCTCATGTGGCCATGACAACAGATGCTCAAATTCATCCAGTTCTGACTTTCACTCCCCCACCCCCAACTCTTTCTTTACCTGACTGCCTGCTCTTGAATACATCTAAAATATTTTTTAGGGCTGGTAGTCTAGCTCACTGGTAGAGCATGTGCTTAACATGTATAAAGCCCTGTGTTCAATTCCTAGCACCAAAAAAGAAAGAAAGAAAGAAAGAAAGAAAGAAAGAAAGAAAGAAAGAAAGAAAGAAAGAAAAATAAAAAACTTTTAAATAATTTTTTTTAAATTTAAATTCTGGATTTCTAGTTGATATTAATGGAAGTCTTGACTAAATTATTGTAATTTCATAGTTTTGTCTATAGTGTCATATAAAACAAATTAATACCAACTTTTTAGTGACCTAATATTCCCACCTTCCTTAAGCCATACCCAAATAGTCCTTTACTTTTACATCCTTAAATATTAATGG